TTTTTATTGCTTTTCTGGTTGCATAAAAGGGAGACTAACACAAAAAACAACCCAACATCTCTTAGAAGTAGGTTTTACTTTATGAGGGTAAACAAAAAGAACAAATATACATCTTATGTAACTTTTGGGTGAACTGATATATTATTTAAAAAAAAAAAAAAAAGCATGGAGAAAAAAGACATTTCTTACTGTCAATTATAATCAGGGATGAGAATCCCATTTGTAAAATAAGTTGTACTTTATATTTTGGGGTCCAGGGGGACACATAGACCATGATATTTTTGGGTCCAAAAGAGACGGAAATCTGCCCAGAGCTGGAAAAATCTCATACCTGCATAATATTTTGAATTCAATCTGACCCATATCACACAATATATATGCTTATTAATAAGTAGATTCAATCCCATAGTAGCTAACGTTGATCTGAATGGACTGATATCAGATGTGCTCATGTGCACTGCCACTGTCATCAAAACAGCCGACTGCTGGGTATTTTATTTTATTTTAACTCAGAAGTTTGAGATGTAATTTTCATTTCAATGTAACCTACTAGTGCGTAATTTTCATTTCAATGTAACCTACTAGTGAAGAAAACATTTAATTTCTCATTTTTAATGACCCAAAGTGACCAAGAATGAATGCCAAATGACAGGCCAGTTGTCCACACTCATGGTATTATTATTTTTTTATTCTCAAACAGGGCTGTACTCCAGGACGCAGAAAGGACATTAACCAGTATAAAAGGGACTTAAGGAAATTCTCTGTTGTTGCCCCGGTTTGTATAGAGTGTGATATATTGAACCTTGTATAAACAAGACAGATGGCAATCAAGTAGATTTAGACTTTTGTGATCTGGTTCATTTTCCATTTTTTTTCCATCACAGACTCGGTGATAGTCAAGCATTTACTCAAATGTGCTGTTGAAAATTAGTCCATGTTGCCATGTATTCCAGCGTGTTGCTTTTCCCCAGTGTATTTTAAGTGCACAGAGGGAAATCCTTATAACAGATGGTTTCATAATTGAACGGAGTGTTTTACACCCACACTTTCCCCTATATGTTGACAGGTGAAGGTTAATAAACTCCAAAATCAAGTGTTAAACAACATTATTGATTTTGTGACAGCATAATTGCATTGTTAGCTTTCATGACAAAAAAAGGGACTCGGAATATCTCGGAAAATCAGAATAAGCATTCTGCAAAACCTTCTATTAATTGATTTCTTTAATCTAATTCAATCCATTAAAATGTCTATTAAAAGTTAGTGTCTTTGTCCAGCTTTAATATTATAGGCTGGTCTAACAAGAATTCTAGAGCTTGTGATTTGTGTATCAAGCTGTGTTTAGATAGTCTTTAATGACACACATTAATTTGTAAAGTCAGGAAGTGAACACTTGATTGCTATCCCCCCTTTGTAAAACCTCTACAATCCCATTCAAGGCTCCGCGTGCTGACAACACCATGGGCGCCAACGCATTTACACACATTCTACATTTTATAAAGTGACAAATATTTTGTATTTGTACATTTTAACCCGAGCGATATGTGCCAGAACATTGCGAGTGTCAGCTAGAGGTGTTCGAGGCATATATATTGTGAGAGGCTGGCAGTGTAGTACGTTCAGAGAGAAAGTACTCACATTTCACTGAAAAACACCCCTGAAGCTGAATAAAGCATATATCACCACAGTCATAAAACATCATGTTTCAGGTTTTAGGTCTCATTCCCAATGAAGGCATCACTCTACGTGGATCGATCCAGCCTGGTAGGAACTCTCACTGAATGCATTCAGATTAAAGCAATGAAACACCTTTTCTTGTTTCCAATACACTTGTATATAATCATGGGTTTTTCTATATTCTAATCAACACCAGGAGAAGGCGTAATAATCTTTTAATTGGATTGCATTCAGTGAGAGTCCCTGCAGAATTGGATTGATTGACACAGAACAATAGTTTCATTGGGAATGAACCCTTATACTACTGTCAATAACACATTCAAACATAGATCTTTAGTATGCAGTAAGTTTCACTGTACAGAAGCAATTCCCCCATTTTCTGCGTAATATGAAATTATGGGCATATTTGATCCCTACATTTGAATGAAGGTCAGAAACTGGATTGTGCAAATAGTACCCAGTTATATGATATAACTTGATAACTAGAAATGATTTTCTTTGTTATTTCAATTCATTTTGCATCAAATGAACATATCTGAAAAACGATAGGTTCAATCATAAAATTATGATGCTATCTTTGATGAATGGTTTCATTTTTTAGTTCTTCGTGGATACCTTATCAGGGCCGGTCATGTGGTTTAAATCATCTTATTCTTTTTTTTTTTTTTTTATTAGTGCTACTGTGTAAAGAGACAGGCAACCATCAATCATTTTTTAAATATTACAATTTCTGCCCCCTGCTAAAAATTACATGGGTATTTTTGTAACTGTTCACTCAGCATAGGTGAAGTAGAAAAAATGGTGTAAATGAGTAGGTGTATGTGTGCGTGCCATGTACTTGGCAACAACCACAGATGTCAGAAAAATTTATCAAAAAAATGCCATAAAAAAGTGAACTCCATAATTAATATTAAACCAATTATATCTGAGAAGAATCTATGCAAAACAGATCACAGAAATTAAAACCTTCATGCTCTTGTACACCTAATCCTGGACTAAACCATTTTTAAAAAGATTCATGAGTCTTTAATGGTAGTTTTCCTGGAAATATTCAGATAAGCATTTCTGGCGATAGATCTGGCATATTGTCAAAAAAAAAAAAAAAAATCATTTAACCTCCTTAGATCAAGAACTTTTGCAGATGAAAGTACATATTTGTTTTAAAAAAAGATGATTATTGATCTTTCAAGAACAAAAGAAAGATATGACAAACTTCCAACACCATACAATCTCCTCAATGTCTGATCTCAATAAGTCCCTAAAAATGGCCTTCAATAATAACCTTGAGGATTGTGACAAAGACATATAGCCTAGAAAAAAAAATGCTACATGATATTACTGAAAAATCTTTCATGTTTCGCTAACCTGAGGGGTTCCATAGGGGAAAGGGATGACAGGAATTCCCAGAGCTTTAAAACATTACACTTGACCGCAAGATCTAAAGGGTGGGCTGATGGAAAGGAAATTACGGACATTAAAGTAGATCATGTAGCAATTCTATGCAATTAGGCTTCTTTTTGTAGCCATTTTCAGAAAAGCTTAGCAAAGTAACCATTTTTATGAGAACAGCATACTATTATAGGGACTACTATTGGGAATTCTCTGGACAGTACTTGGACAAAGTACCTTTTTTAAAGGCCATCACCCATAACTTTGAGTAACCATGTATAATTTTTTCAGAATTTGACTAAGACCAAAGAAATGGTCTCATTCCTCGCATTTTCATGGAAGATGATAGTGCTACTTTTTGATCAGGGGAATAATACAGTAAATCACTGAGTTAGCTTAAAAGGGCAGCAGCATTCCATTAAGATATTAATACTGACTGTACATGCCCATACTACATTTCAGATGCTAAAAGTCATTATAGGATACCAATTTTGTGCCACCAGATACATAAGATACCAGAAAATTTTTATCTGTGCTGAATTAGGGAGAAATGAAACAAATCATAGAAATGCAAAGCATCACTGGACTTGTAGAGAGAAGCCAAGGTAATGAATCAATACCTATAATATATGCTTTATGTGGAAAACAGACACAATATCAGAACAAACCATTGGTACTTCAAGGTGTTAACTTATAAATTAAAAATCCCTCTCATTACATTACCTTGTTTTTTTTCTTCCTTTGAAAGATTCATCAATCTACCATAGTCTGTGATTGCTTTACAGAATTTATATAATTATTTCTTTCTGTGCATTAACAAAAAAAGATTGTTCTCAGAAAAATATTAGTCAATTTTGTTCCAATCCGGTCTGTAATTACTGTACAAATTCTCAAAATTGGAAATAAAACATATGATCTGCATAATAACAGCTGCAATACCCAAAAGCAATTCAAAATGATAGAACTATCTGCTTTATCAAATAAAAAAAAATACAAAGTGTTTCTATTTCAATATTCAATGGGTTACAGAACAAATTTCGTGGCAGACATGACTTCACAATTTTACACTCGATGTATGCTAAAGAGGGCTGTATAGAGAATTTGAAATAGCATTTCTGTATTTTGTATGTATGTGTGTGCTTGTGTGTGCTAAGAAACGAATCTAACAATATATTAATGACTGAATGTATAAATAAATCTTCAAACACAAAAACTAAAGATCAAACCATCAAATAATCAATACAGAATTTTAAAATACCCCAAAAAAATCAAATTGCAACCATACCTTTGACAACCTTGGTATCAAACTTGGGCATATTTCCGGTGAAGTAAACATGAGGGCTTTGCGTTATGATGAAGGGGTCATTAGAATAATAGGGGTAACAACCTGAAAAACAAGAAATTATATAAATATACACATATATATGTATACATTTACTAGAGAGAAGTAGCACACTTTATGAAGGATTATTAAAAAACAGCTATTGACGTGATTGTGCAGAGTCAGTGGTGATACTATCAGAAACTTAAATTGTGGGTCCAAGTCATTAATTAGGCAACCTAAGTCTCAAATCCATGACTCCAAGTCACAAGGGGCAATTTTCTTTATAAATAAGGCCCAAGCCAGAGTGTGCCCCTTTAACTTTTCAGCCCACTGGTCATTTGGACTAATAGGTCCAGAAAACTATAAATCTAAACCAAAATGTACTAGTCCTGGGATGAAGATAATAAAAGGGTTAAGTCATCTAAATTTGCTAAAATTTTAGCTTAATGGAACAGACTAGTAACTTTGAAAAATCTTTAACTAGTTTTAAGCCATTTTTATTATTCAATTACCAGTTGCAAACGTCAGGAGTCTTATTATGGTTTATCTCCCATAATACATGTATAAAGTTCAACATAGCTACATTATTCGATCATACTGAAGTTTTCTGGAATTTAACAACTTGCACTTTGGTTGCTGATCTGTATCTTTTTTTAATTTGAATAAGCCTGCTGTAAGACACACCCACACACACTTTAATTTGAAGTTCACTTTTCCTGTTTACAGATTTTTATTAGTTAAAATATTCACCAGCACTTCCCAAAATCAGAAACAGAGCTTTTTAGACTAAAAGACCTAGAGAGAAAAGTTAACTGAAGATTCCTATTGCTTTTGAATAAGGCCTTAAATCAATGGAAATAGCTCCTCCTGTAGTGTTCACAATCATTTCTACAAGTTCAATTCAGTACTAATCTGCCAGGTCTAGAATGAAAGAGAAATTATGGTGGATAAATTCTACACAATTTCAAACTAGCAAACCACAAAACGAGGAAAAAATGTACAATAAGTATCCAGATGCCTATTTGATGTCCTAATTGTCATCGTCTCATTTCTCAAAGCACAATCAATTATCAATCCACATTACCAGTCCACTGAAAACAGAAGATCACAGACAGCTTCTGCCCATTAACGAGTTTGCAATTGCTGTCGTATAATCATGAACTAAAATGATCCACCATTTGCAATGAAATTGCTTAATCAGATGTGGATGCAGTCTCTCCCTCATAATATGAAACCATAATTTAAGATATAATTTACCCTTGTTCATTGAAACTCCCCCTACTGCAATAGCAAATTGTGTGCAGGTGTCCGGGGAGATACAACAGGTGCTATGAGACTTGACTTCAATCAAGACAAGACATTGTCCACCATCAATATATATATTTGGCCAACTGAGCGTATCTCATTCAGGTGTGAGTGTACACAAAGTTGGGTGCAATATAAGGAGTAACTAGTACTGAGATTTCTAATAAAATGCATACAATTATGGCACATGCTAATTTCACACCAAGCACATCACATTTTATATACATTTTTTTTAATAGGATATTTCTGTATTTCTGTTAAAGTCAGAGCTGTTTGACAAATAATAATATTTAGTTACTTTCATCACAGAATTTTCTTTCTTTGGTGAAAAATATAAACACTTAAGCCAAGTAATCTTGGTTGACATTTCAATATGCTCCTTAAATAGGTCACAAAGTTAAAGTTATTGGAAAGCATTTAGTCAGCACTCCTGGGATGCTCATCATCAATCATTGTTTTCTATATTCATATATCTCTTCAAATTGCTCAAAAGAGTTAGGCTATTGCTAGTTGGCTCAAATATCAGCTCACAAGTTATATACAGCTATAGACAAGCATGGAATGATGCAAAAGACAACATGAGAGAGAGAGAGAGAGAGAGAGAGAGAGAGAGAGAGAGAGAATTACTCTGTTGACCAAAGCATGTGTTTTCTAAATGAAACACAAAGTCATACTGACTGACTGACTATGCTGAAATTTAAATACATTATCTAGGCTATCATCTCCATTTAATTAATATACTAGTACTTTTTTCCATAAGAGTTAATAACACACATCCATGACAAATGTATCCTTGCACTCACTGCCGTTCCCTATCATTTCTTCGTTTGTATTTTACTTTTATCCTCCCACATCATCAGCACAAACTTTCCATCATGGCAATAATTACATATAGCATTATGATCAATTTGAGAGAGAGAGAGAGAGAGAGAGAGAGAGAGAGAGAGAGAGAGAGAGAGAGAATCATCTTACAGCCTCCCTGAGACTCATTTCACAAACTAATTTTAAACTGAATATTGGTCTTACACTTTTAGACCCAAAATTTTGTCTGGTTTAGTAAACTATAGTATTTCATGGTCAGTCTGTAATAGTCTTAAAGTTCTATCTCAAGTTTTTATATCTCAAGTTCTTGGGAAGAACAAGCCACTGACGATATATTACAATCCATCACCTCACCATCCTGAATGAAGTCCGGGCCATTATCAGTATAAACCATCTGCACTCAGATCAACCAGACCACCAGGGTTAGCAATATTACACAGCAATCTTCTCAGATACTGGTGCTATTTACTCCATCTTTCTCTCTGTGCTGGTATATAACCTTGGCATGTGCCATATGATTTTAGCAGTAATTTTGTTCAAACTAAGCCCAGATACACAGCCATAAGTGTCAAAATCCTTGTATATGATTGAACTCTGTAACGGACTGATAGAAGAGGGTTCGCCTTAGGGCAACCCAACATCAGTCCCCCCCCTCCCCCCATCAATCATTCTCAAAATAGAAATTAATTGTCTGATGTGGTGGAGTCAAAAATTCAATATTCAGCTATAGATTGCCTTAGGTGTTACTTTTTGGCATTCCTTCAAAAAGAACTATTAAAGAGCACAATATCTACATCTTTTCCAAGAAAGACAGGACTTCTTAGAAAGTTATCACTTGTTTGGGTTCAAATACTTGTAGGGCATCCCATAATGATGTTTATGCTAAAGATTTCTTGAAAAATATAATATGATGTGCTAACAAGAACCCAATAAATAGAATACTTCCACATCCATGTAAATGATTTATCTGAATTTAAACTTGCCCTGAACAGGTTATCTATTCCAGTAAAAGAAAGTAATAAATAAATTTAGATTTAAAAATCTCATCATTTTCATGTTGCTTTGTCTTAGACAATTTGATTTGGCTAAACTTTTCAGCAATGTAGAGAGCACTCCAAGAGCACAGACCGACACTAGGAAGATTGGAAATTACTATACTAGTAAGAGATAACAGATATCAGGCAACCCAGATTAAGTTATAATTTGTGATTACCTGAATAACATGCTACTTATCCTGAAATTTTCATCAAAATTTGAGATATTAGACCAAAATATAGACAAAATTTCAGTCCAGTTAAATACAACATTCACAAAGGGGGTCCCTTGTAAGAAGTTATCAACACGCGCTAGAAGAACAAGTTCATTTTTGAAAAAAAAATAAGAAAGTTGATATTGTATTTAAAGTTATTTTGGACCGTTTTCAAGCCCTTGACCTCTGATGACTTCCAAACTTTTTAAAATGAATGGACATGCTTTTAAACATCGGAAATGATACCTCTCACAAGTTTGCAAGTTACCGTGATATATGCTCACTAAAATATACACCCCTATGCATTGGCAGCCATTTTGGATTTTTTGCACTTTCCAATGGATGGATTTGGTGGGAAATTATCTGGGTAATATTGGCCCATAACTGGACTGGATTCTGTTGAGAAACCTTTGTTAACATTTTTCCAACCTAAGTCGTGTGTTTACTGGACAATATCCACTGACAAACAGTCAACCCAGTGTCAATGAGAAAAATAAATCAATTGTGATATTTGTGATTAAGAAGCAAAGAACTTGTCACAACAAGTCGCCCTAAATAAAAGTATCACGCAACAGAAATGACATTTTTTAGACATTAAAATGAGAACTGATAATTAATTATTTAATCTGACAAATCTCCAAACTGGGTAATGCAGTCAACCAGTTTAGACCTGTCAGGTCATAATGGCACGATGACTTGTGTCAAACTAGAGATACAAGGTTCATCCCAGCCGCACAAAAACTTGAAAACTTGATCTGCATGTCAGTGAACCATAAAATCCATTCAAGCTATCTAAAAGAGTCAATTTTCTAAACCTAACAGAATAAGCTAAACAAACATTGGTCTCTAAAACAGATAAAAGCTGTTAATATTTTAGGGCATGTTTTCTACAGAGATAGGATTATTAGGTTCTTATAAGTTATCACTGCCATAAGATATTTCAGCCTTTTTTAAATGATGGAAGCATCCTGAAGCCACCTTGATTGAATTCTTGATCAAAAGATTTTAGTGCTTGCAAATTGTCTGCGTGTTACAGTTGTATTCCTCAGATAGCAGGAAATAAATTGAAGTTCAAGCCTCACTAAGGAGTGATCAATATTCACAGTAAAGAGTACAAGGGAAATGGTCATAGTGTACAGTTCAAATGGGTTTTATATCTTTTTATTTCTTTAAACAGATTTCCTGGTTTTTTCTCTCATTGTGTGATTTCCAGATTATCTGATTAACCCTATTTTTTCAATGGTTTATCCCTAATTTAAGTGCAGTGTTCTATACTCCTCTCTCTTGATCAGTGGAAGAGCAGTAAAGAAACCATACAAAAAAGTAATTAAAGAGATGATACCTCCTGCAAAATTGGGTTGAAGACTGCTCTACAAAACTACAAACAATGGGCCTCTAGCCATTAGTATGCAAAAAATAAATAATAATAAAAAAATAATTATAATCATAAATAAATAAAAAATATATATAAAAATCAGTCTAAATAGCTGCCATCCTTGTGAAAATTTCAAGCAACTAAAGGGGAACCCCACATGTAAGTATTCACTGTAATATAATTGCATAGGTATATATATATATATGTTTTTCCAAATCAGCAGAAACATTTTATGCCAAATTTTCAGACCATACCAACTAACACTAAAAATATATCAAAGTTCAAATCAAAGAATAAAATCCCTTCTGGCAAATTTGTCGCAAATTGCAACAAGAGGTTAAAGCAGGCCTGATATTTTGCTAAGGGTGACCAAAGCCAAAGTTCTCCTAATCTACACACCAAGCTTAAATGTCTGTGGCACCATTTAAATAGTTCAAACAATTTAAATGATACAATTTATTTTAAAAAGAACAATAGAATCAAGTGTTTTTACATTTTATAATTTGTGCTCATGTGTCCTGCCCAGAACAAGTTGATACATGTAGTAGTGTAATTACAGCTTATTGCAGTTAGAAATGGCCACTGACATCAATAATAATTAAATAATGATGCACTGTTGATTGATGATACGAATTGTGTCCTACAAAAAACACTTGGTTCATTGCAGATGTTTTAAAGTGATTTCATGCAAGAATGATTTTCATGTTAGACCATCGTATAATCTATTAAGCCAAATAACTAAACCTTCAGATAGAAAATCATGTCTCTCATCCCTTAATTAAGACATGTTTGAAATATCAGTGCATCATTATATTTAAAATATATCCACCTCAAAAACTCTTAATTAAATTTAATATATTCAACAAGCTTTTGACTTTCTAACATGAAATGGTTAAATTTACATGCAATTTTGATGATCGCCTTATAAAATGCATTCTTTGTAAATAGAATGGAATAAAGAATTATTGAAAAACACCACATCTCACAATAAATAATGTATAAACCTTAACAGAAACATCTGTGTGAATAATTAAATCAATACTGGTCTAATTACAGACAAATAGCTTAATATTTCACATTTCAATTGAAATTCTTGTCTTTCAATATGCATTTAACCACAAAGTTCCATCCCTATCTAAATTCTTCGAAAACATTAAAAAAACCCCACTTATTGCCAAGGAGTGAAATACGAGAATAATAATTGATGTGAAATATACTAACAGCAAAAGAGGCCTTCATTTTTGAGAAGTCTTGAGACTTGTTTCAAGACAGAAAAGATATTGATTATACAAAATAATTGCAAAAAAAATAATAATAATAGTAATACAATAAAAAATAAATAAATAAATAAAATAAATAAATAACATCAGAAATCTCCAGGAACTTTAATCATGACAAAAAGACATAACATCTGCTTCTCACAAAAAACAAATTAACAACCTAAATTTAATCCATAAACAAGCTTGTATCTTTCTGTAATTGAGCAGGATTTCCAGAATTCTGCCCAATGATACAATTACAAGGCTTGAAGACATGCAATATTCAAATCACCAGCATTGGTTTTTTACCAATTAAAGGACTCACATACCATTCGTCGTCCGTTTATTTTTTTGTTTGTTTTCATCATATGCCAAAAAATTTATCATCAGTTATTTCATAACTGTTGCTTTGAGTTTTTATCATGCTTATATTTGGAAAAGTCATCCTGATTTTATTCAACACATGTATCACTTCTTTTATAATCATGATGACAATGATCATGATAATAATAATAAATTTTGAAAATATTATAATAATATCATCATCATCATATTTTACTCCTTCCATACTTCATTGGTATAAGGTACACCTGCAGCATTTTGGGGCATACTGTCCCCCTTCCTCTAGCAGGGTATTATGCATCATTATCATTCTATCATAATTCATTATTATTTTCATCATCATCACCATCAAGATTACAAATTATCCCTTCAATAATCATCTTTGTTCAAAGCCTGGACAGAAGTATCATCTACATCTGACACATTGTTATATTACAACTTAAACTGAAGAAAAAAAAACCCATCATTAAAATTGCATATAATCCTGTGCATGCCTGACCTATATAACACAAACAGAATAAGATCTGTTGCTTGGCAATCTTATTATCCTAACACATTCAATCACTCCTTCAAGAAAGAAAGAAAGAAAGAAAGAAAGAAAAAGAAAGAAGGGTAAAATAGATCTAAATAATCACAAATTTTTAACAAACCATTAAATACAGTGTATTTAGTGAAATAAGAAATCAATAACTTACTGCTGACTTACTGCAACAGCAGGAATTAATACACCCCCAGTATTTGTGACAACCAACCACCAATTAAACTAAATGTTCCATAAATTGCCATTTCCCCATCCAATATTAGTGCTGTCAACGTGTCAGCTTACCTAACGTGTCCGGAGCGGTGGGGGCCAGGTGACCCCAGGTCAAACAATTCTCCATTATCTGCAAGTGGTCATCCAGAGTGCTGTAGCGATGGATGTCCGTAACATTCTGACCAGATGTGCCGAGGAATCTATAAAAAGATGAAACAAATGGGTAACATTTTGATGGGGTCATGCCCAAGAATCTTTCAAAAAAAATCCTCATATTAATTTTTAAAAATTCACAAAAATGTGCAATTAGAATCTCTTACATCTTTCCAAAATGTACTATTTTTATTGTTAGTTATAAGATACATGTTTAATTTTGTAAATGTACTCCCGACAACAGAGCTAGAAATGTGTGTCCAATATCTTGTTGAACAACATGGTGGTAGCAATATCACACTTGAAACATATGTTTGTCTGTATAGATGTAAGTACATATATAGTCTTCTATAATGCTGGACAGACAATTTTTTTCTTTTCCATAATATAATTACCTTGTGCCATAGACCAATTTATCAGATTTTGGAAGAAATTCTGACAAAAACTTTGTTGTGGGCTTTTCTATCTACACACTATAAACAATGTCTGAAGAAAGCAGTTTATGAGCCGGAAAATTCCAAGAGAAATGACTGTAATGTTTGTGGTAACCAGTAGATGGCAGCACAGTAGCAAGAATGCCATAGAGCTATCAGCTATGGCTTTTTTTTTTTTGATCCTGCTTCAAATTACACAGAAGAGGAATAATTAAGAAATGTATAAATTAATTAATTAATCAATAAATTCAAATCAAATCAAAGTCAAATGAAAAGGGTGTGCATCAATAGAAAGTTCATTGCTAAGAAAGCTGTTTGGTTATTCATTCATTTCTTCTAATTTCAAAAATAAAGACTGTTTGGATTGATTAAGTACCTTATTCCTTCTATGGTGCAATCATATGGGTTGGTGACGCAGTGTGTAGATGGAAACATGGCCGCCTGGGGGAACATACAGCGATGTAGTGGTTGTTGTGGTAGGATGTGGTTAGCCGGATCAAATTCCCCTGGCATAATGTCAATGCTCATGGAGCACTGAAAAAATAAAGGCTGATTAGGAAAAATCTGGCAAGAACTGATCATTTGACAGGTGTACTAGCCATTGCTCAGATTAGAGGCATTTAATCCTGGATTTTCTGCCAAACTGAGTTTTCTTTGGAAAAAAAAAGCAATTTTACCCAACTTGTGAATCGGGTATTTAGGTATGTCAACCACATTTATGATGGGATAATAAAAATGAAATATGCCAGTGGACCAATGTTGCAAATTTTGCTTTTTACAGTAGTCTGTTAAGCTGAAAAACTTTGGACTGTTCTTTTGTGATGTAGGTTCCAGAGGCAAATTCCAAGAATTACATCAAATAGACTCACCGCTAATTGCACCAGAATGTCATCTAGACTCTTAACGGCATCAACACTACCAGCAGTTGTTTTCTTGGTCAGATATTTTGCCTGAAATTTTGAGATTAGAATAAAGGTACGATGCAGCACTATAACAAAGCTATAAACATAAGAATATATATTTTGAGAAAAAAACTCAAAATCAGCTTGACTGGAAGAGTTAAACATGTTAAATTTTAGTCTTAGAAGGGTGACATACTTTGAAGACATAAATAAGGATTTTGGGTATTTTCAGAAGAACGTAAGAGAAATAATTGTCTTAAACATGTACACCAAAAATCTTGGGCGACTTCAATTCAGAGTAGATTTGTTGTAGTCCAATGAATCAAATTAAGTATTGGTCTTTAACATTTGATGCATTCCATTATTTTTATAAAAGAGGTCTGAAATTTCATTTACATCTGACAACTACTAATACTTCTGATCAATCTAGGGTCAAAGTAGGCTACATATTTTGGTCAAAAGTTAAGCCAACTTTCACACAAAAGCTCTTTTGTGAAAATGGCTCCATTTTTTTTCAATTTTAATTCTCAGCCGTAAAAAATGGCACAGAGATTCATGCTTGAATAAAAAAAAAATAAATAAATAAACAGACAGACAGACAGACTTACTTGTTTTACTTGTTCCTTATCTTGTGTTTCCTGACTGAGAGAATTTCCAGCTATAATTAGTCTGCTGATACTGGCACAAGTCTCCTGTTCTCCCTCGTCCCCCAACTGACCAGTCAGTACGTCCACTAACATCTGGACACTCAGCAAATTGCTGGACTTGCCACCAATGTCCAACCCTGATACCATGGCAACATACCTAATTTAAATAAAAAGCACTGATGAAATGATGAGTGAGTGAGTGAATGAGTGAGAAATAGGATATCATTAGGGCACAGAGGCAAAATGTGTTGTGCAGTGCAGTGTAGTAGAGCATACATAGAACATGGTATATTAGGCTTTAAACCATTGTGGTCAATCTGTTCATGTCAGTATACACCAAGCAAAAATATAACGTGAATTACATATGTAACATGTAATGGGTAACTCCAAAATGTGGATAAAGTATTGTGTGGGGCCTTTATATTTTTTATTAATATATATTCATTCTAGCATTATATCTAGAGAAGCAAAAAAAAAAAACTTATTTCAGATGACTTCCACAGAGCTACCTTAAGTTTATGTAGACCAAAATTTTGATCTAAAAATTAACATCAATGGACACAAGCCCCTGATCTTTCTCGTAGTTGGAGAGTAGATCAAGAGTAAGCTTGACTTACACAGGATGTTCCACCACAGGCCTTGGTACAGAACTAGCCATGTCAAGGAAACAATAGTCTTCCACTAGAAACTTTCCTCGATCTTCATCAGGTTCCACGCCATACACTGCTATGACTATACCTAGATTTTATGCAACAAAATCAACTTGTTATTTGTATTCAAATTTCATTAAATATTCTTATACATGGCAAAATTAATTAATGCATGAATATGCAAATACCAAACTGACACTTAGCAATTTTTTGCAATCCCCCCCCACAAAATCATGCGCCTAAAATTCTCTACAGACTCATAAAGCAGTAAGGTTAATATCAAATCTTTTTTTTTTGGTTTTCCACTTATTCTGTAGTGGACACAGACCTGTGACCATGGTCTGGACATCAATAGAGCCCTTTAACTGTATCCTTTGTAACTCATCCTCAAGGATCAACTCATCTTTATCATCAGTATATCTACTACGAGCTGGCTGAGGTAGCATGGCATTCTGGAAATGAAAACTGACAATGAAATCTCAATTCAATCCCTTTGTCTTCCTAAACAAAAAGTCTTGTGATACGTTGAACAAGGTTGATACATATACTGTAAGTCAAAAAACATATGCATCATAGTGGATAATTATTTGTTTAGTTTATGTTATGTTAATTCTTAGTCATACATCTTAGTAAATCTTCTTATATCTTTATATTTGGCACGGTTAATTAGTTTAAAAGGGGTTGTGCAATCATATCTATGAATCTTTTCCTCGCAAATCCAAAACAAATATTAAAGTTACATTAATGTTTGCATCATAAAATACATTGATGACAAAAGTCAGCAATTAATTTCATCATAAAATAGACAAGAGTCAACAATTCACTCGAGTTGTCAACACACAAACATGCACACAGGCACGCATGCACATGCACTACTTCTGTTTCGCCAGTTCTTACCTCCTCACTGATCTCTTTGAGTATACTTGGTCTTAGTTCCATGTGTTTGAAGAGCGTTCCTATGACAGCGACCTTCTCATCAGCTTGGAGTTGATAAAGTTGTTTAATTGGTGTGTCCTTACCTGAGAAAATGTACATTCAAATGAAACAATGTAATCAGAAGGGCGATACATAAAAAACAATGTACCTTACATAGATAGACTTTTGCAGACCCCCCCCAAGTCACTGAAAATCAAAGGGATATGAGGGCTGCATGTGTGCCTGTGTGTGTGTGTGGGGGGGGGGGGGGGGGGGGGGGG